GGGAGAGGGGCACCACAGCGGCGGCGGCGGGGCCCTGCCACGCCTCTGAGGCTTTGCCAGAGCAAAGCCTCAGAGGCGCGGGACCCCTCCGCCTCCCCAGCTTTGCTCCAGGTGTCCCTGGTCTGCTGGAGACGGTCCCCAGCAGACCAGGGGCACCCGAAGCAGCTTTTCTCGCCCCGGAGGTCGAGGTGGCGGGACCTCTGCGCTCTGGGCGGTCCCGCTGCCTGCGAGCTCCGGGGTGAGAAAGCCCCGTTCGTAAGTCGGATCCGACATAAGTCAGATCCGCGTAACTCGGGGACTGCCTGTATAAGGTTCACGGAGCTTTTCTTCAGGGCTGGGGAGAGTACCAAAGCGCTTTAATATAAGATGGGACACATTGTTAAGTGTAAAGGAGGCCACTTAAGATGAAGAGGACAATTAAGGGTTAGCAAGCAGTGGGGCGTATCACTAAATGCTGTAATGAGCCATAAAATCAGTATGTCTGTTGAGTCCCTGGTTTTTAGCAGTTAGCACTGTTACAAATTTAATTTCCCAGGTTTGTCCTTTGATATTATTCTGCAAGTTCCCCTTGAGGGCAAAGATTGAGAGGTCAGATATGGTATGATCACTTTCACCCACAGATGAGAGGGTGTTTTTGTCTTGTATAATATTTCTTTGTCATTCATTCAGAAGTGTAGTGATTGTCTGATTTCACCTACAGTTATTGTTGGGGGCATTTGATGTGCTGGATGAATTCATAGGATGCATGAATCTTCAGAGGTCTGTTGTGTGTGGGGCAGATCATATTTAAAATTCTTATAGTCTCAGGCTGGTCAGTGATCCAAATGACATGTTGAGGTAAGGCCCATACAACATGTAGGCCCTTGAAGTGGCATTATGTGTGACTAAAGTGGTCTACAGGCCTTCTGCTGCTGCAGGGGGTGTGAGATTTTTCACTGCTTACACAGAGATCCCTTGAATTGTGCTGATATCATTTTATCAGGAGGGGTCCCACCCATTAATAAGTGATAATAATGAACAAATGCCCAATAATGAACTCCCTGTTCCAGGGCTGTGTATTTTATGCCTTTTTCTGTATCTGCAGAAAGGGAATGTATCGGGCACTGTCTGGATGAATAGATTCAGTCCAGGATCTCAAAATAAGACTGTGCATTCAGTTGGGTCTTCTGAATGGAAAATGGGCTATTTTATAATTCATAGTATCCTTGCTGGCCTCCACAATGAAACTGACAGCTGGGGAAACCAAGCTGGTGGCCTAGAACAATGGTGGGGGCAAGTGGAGATGGATGAACAAAATGCTTTTAAATATGAACCTGGACAGAGATGTCTTTTAAAAGGCTGTAACAGTTAACTTACGCCCCCCATGGCTGCATCACTGAAAATGCAGGCAACTTGGCAAGAGTGAGAAATCCAAGAATTTGAGGCATGCCAGCTGGCTGTCTTTTCTGTTCTGTTTAAATTCTGGAGGCATGGAGGGTTAGGAGCCTACTCAATTTATGGAAAAATGGTTTTGTAATATTTTGGCTCTTCACGTTCATCACAATTTTATATGCACTGATAGGCAGAGTCCTAGCTCCAGTCCAGCCAACGGAGAGCTCTTCTAGCAATATTGTGTGTGTGTAAGTTTTGCAGAAATGAGAGAGAAGTAATGGGGAGTGACAGTTCTCTAAATGAAAGGGGTAAAAGGTTTGACACAACGATCTTCACAGCTCTTAGCCTCGGAGCCCGAAAAAGGAGGAAAGCGCGGCTGAAAATTAAACATCGAAGTGTTCCATGAAATGTGAGTACAGCATCAAGACTGCATGTTTACCTCTTTGTATCTGGAAATAATGGCCCCTTGGACAACACTGAGGCTATGTCTACACTCGTGGCTTCTTGCCTGTCAAGTAGTAGGTGTAACGGCGTTGCGCAAGAGGGTTTTTCTTGCGCAAGAAGGGGCAGTGTAGATGCTCCTTCTTGCGCAAGAGCCTCTTCTGAAAAAAATGGTGGCTCATTAGGTATGCAAATGAGGCTCGGCGGTATTCCACGCTTAGCCTCATTTGCATATTACTCGCACAAGAAGCTGCGAGTGTAGACATACTCTGAATGTTTATGAATGTACAGGTGAACCCAGACTGCTCCTCTTGATATTTTCTTCTTTCTGCCCCAGTTTATCAGGCCCTAACTATATCCTCATTGGCGAACTGCAGCTCTTAGAGTAAATAGTATTGTATTTCTGTTGAAGTCCTTGGCCTAGCAAGCCCTGCCGCTTAGCAGGTGTCTCAGGGAAAAGGGGATAGTGAGATGGTGCCGTTTTGGACATTATGGGCTTGATTGCCAAGACTAGGGCCTCAACACACCCTGGCACGTCAGCGTCCAGACTGTCATCTGCCCAGCCATTCTGGCGGGTGCGCTTGTATCAGCAGCAACTGCCTTGTTGTAACTTCTGACAGAAACGCCAGAAAGAACCACCAGGGCCTTGAGCTCTGCAGGGGCCTCTTGGCACTACTGTAATTACATCTGGGGCTGGTGTGTCAGAGGGCTGAGCACCCAAAATCCAGTCACAGTTTCATGGGAGCGGTGGGTTCTCACACCCACAATTAGCAACAAGAGGCATGAGGGTAAATCCATCTCCACGGCCCTCTCCAGTTCACCGAAAGAACCAAGAAGGTTCCCGGTCTTCACTCTCCATGCACACTCCGGATCTAACCGAGGCCCAGCCAACCATTATATGCTTTCTTTGCCAGTGCCCTCCCTGATCCTAGTGACCCACCAGTTTGTCATCACTGTGACTAACTCCTTCTTCCCATGCTTGGAGGCAATTTCGGTAAGTGATTCCAGATGTATTTTCCCCTTCTTTGTGATGCTCTCTTCATTTTTAAATAGCCCTCTCATTCTGCTGAGGTGTGGGAAACTTCTTGGGAGAGCTTTAAATCTGTCCATAACAGGCTCTGTAATGTAAACAGGAAATGCTTATTTTCTTCTGATTAAGAGGCTGTTCAAATGCAGGCCCGGGTCAACGGGCAGCCCCTGATGGTGCGTATTTATGCCTTTTTCTGTATCTGCAGAAAGGGAATGTATTGGGCACTGTCTGGATGAATAGATTCAGTCCAGGATCTCAAAATAAGACAATGTCAACAAGCAAATTAATCAATTAGGGATGATTAATACCTTCCGCCTCAGAACTGGTATCTGGAATATCCCACAGTTCATGAGTGCTTGGGTCTGTTCTAGTTCAGCCCATTATAAAAAGAGAGGCCACTTGCAAAGTGGGGCTAGGGAGCTGGGTTCAAATTTTGAGCACTCTCAAGTCTAGGGATACTCAGCTTGGAGAGATTTGTTACAGGCCCCTCTGTTGTATTAGCAATATTGTCTGTCTGCCTGTGGGCATGTTACCTTAGTTGCCAGGGGTGTTCCCTGTAAGCTGAGCACTTGGGCAGCCGCTCAGGAAAGATTCCAATGCCACCCAGCTGATTAGCAGAGTGCCCATGGCTAGGGTTTGTTTCTACATTCGCACATGCCTGGGTGCATGTAGAAAAATTATTCTGCACATGGAGGGAAAAGATTAGAGGGAACATTGGTGACCAGCGGAGGGCTGGATGGGGCAACCTCAACAACCGATCAGCACTGCCCCCAGAGAGGCTGGAGGGGATCACTGCGGCACTTCCAGTCTCTTCTGCTGGCCCAGGAAATGATGAGCTGGCTTAGGAATTTGCCCTGTTTTGCTAGAAATCTTGTGAGCAAAAGCAGGGAGCATTGACAAGCAGGATGTAAATTACTGCAGTGTGAGAAGGAAATATTTGACCAGCACCTTCACATATATCCCTGTAGTGAAGGGGTGACCATTAAATGAAGAGAGCTGAAACAGCGGTGGAAAACATGCGAAGAGCCACACCAGAATTGTTGAGGGAAAAAAAAAAAAAAAAAAGGACGCTGCCCCTTTAACCACAGGTTAAGCTTTTTGGCCACATCAGGTTCCTGCTGCCTGACCCCATCTTGCCAATGCCATTTTGCCATGCCAGACGGCTCCCCTGCACCCAATGAGCACGGAGCCAGGGGCTGTTTGTAGGGGTGCATGGGGCAGCTTCGCGAGCAGCACTTTCAGGGGTGAAGAGCCGCATGTGATGCTGTAGTGGGTCTGAGTGGCCACCCACTGACCCTGAGGGGGACCCCTCCCTGAGCCTGGGTGGGCAGCACCTGGCCCTAACAACTAACCTGGGTGGAAGCCAGGGGGTGGGGCCAGAGATATAAGGCCTGCCAGAAAGGCCAGTCAAGCCCCAGCCAGCAAGGAAGCCAGAAACCTCCCCAGCACAACCAAACGAGGAGCTAGTCCCTGGGGAAGCTGACGACTGGCCTGGGTCACGAGGACTGCCTGGAGAGTTTGTTTACCTGGCTGGAGGACTCCAACCCATGCTGCCCTGAGGACCTGCTCCAGAGCCAGGTACAACCTGAGGGGGGAAATGGAAACGGCCCAGGGATAGCTGACCAGGTCTAGCAGAGGGTCAGCGGGTTGCGGTACGGCCCCCACTGGCCCAGCAGCAGGTCAATGTGTTTCGGCACAGATCCCTGCTGACCCAGCAGCCATCGGATCTGCTGCTACCAGGGCCCTAGGCTGGGACGCAGTGGAGTGGGTGGGCCTGCGTCCCCCCTGTGCCCCACGCTCAGGTGGCAGTCTTCCCCCTCGATTGTTCCTGTTCAGCTGCCTGCATCTGCCAGACCCCCACCTGAGCAAGGGGACTCGGCTGGAGCTGTTGCAAACGGGCCTTGAGCTACTGAGAAACTGCTTTGCTGCGGCCCTGCCCTGAACCAGGGTTCAGATTTATAACTGCATCCCTGTCCTGTCTGGTGGCCTGTTACCCCTCCTTGATGCAGGGTTGGGCCAGAGGACGGTCCTTGGGTATATATTATCGACCTGCCCCGAACAAGGGTGGACGCGTAAAGACTCTTTGACTATAGACGGGGCGCTGTGCAGTGGGTCGGAGTGGCCACCCACTGACCCCGAGGGGGATGAGCCCCCCTGTTGCACCCCACAGGGCTACAGTACCACATTCCCAGGGCAGCAGGCTAGGCCAGATTCATCCTTCTTGTAATGGTGTTACACTAGGGAGATATTTGGCCCACTGTTTTAATGTCTCTTCCCGCAATGCCATTCAGAAAGGTGTCACATGATCAGCCTATTGACTGCTTTGACTCCTTTTTTGGGGAAGGGGGGACTCCTGAGCTTCATCAGCCTCTTTCCAGAAAGGACCAACCTTGCAGCTGCTAAGCATTTGAAGGGCAGGCAAAGGGTGAGGAAAGCCCTAAGTACTGAACGGAAATGCTACAGAACAGTTTCAGCTCCACTTCCGGCACCGAAATCATGAGGTTGGAGTTTGGATCTGGGTGATTCCAATTCAAGACACACCCTACAAATGTTCTTATCAGAGTGACCCTAAAATCGAATCCTGAACCTGCCCCACTTTGCAATCTGCAGAATTGGAATCTTTAGACCCAGTCCCCAACCTCTCAGTTTGGGTTCAGAATCCATGCTGGAGCCAGTCAGAAATCAGCTGGACTTGGGAGATTTCTACTACTTTGAGCCCTAGTCCTACACTAACAGCGCACAAGATTTTGGTAGTTTCTCATTGGAATCCAAGCTTCAGTGCTTGGACTCTCAACCAAAGTATGTCAGGCCAGACACCACCTTCGGCTGCTCTCAGCCCACTTATAACACTGGATTGTCTCACTTGGAATCCAATTGGAATCCGTTGAGAACAGCATACTTTCTTTTCTTCATCCCTCCTCCAGGATAATTTCCCCTCATCCTTCATAAGAGATATGAAGGATTTTCCTGGGTACCTGATTCAGTCTGTGCTATCACTTTAAATTGGAAATAGGTCCAAGAATATATTCCCTAAAGATGTCAAGAGTAATACAGGGAATATACTCCTAAGTACTAGAGGGGTAGCCGTGTTAGTCTGTATCTGCAAAAACAACAAGGAGTCCTGTGGCACTTTAAAGATGAACACATTTATTTGGGCATAAACTTTCATGGGCAAAGACCCACTTTGTCAGATGCATCATCTTTACCCATGAAAGCTTTTTCCCAAATAAATCTGTTTGTCTTTAAGATACCACAGGATTCCTGGGTGATTTTATTTCTAAGTACTGTGATTCAAACATACCGGCAGCTAGAAAAGCATTTACCGGACAGTATAAAACCTGACTTACACACAGCATCAGCATTCCCTGTAAGCAGTGCACCTGTGCGGCCACCCAGGTGAGATTCAGGTGCCGTCCAGCTGAATAACAGAGTGCCCACAGCCAGCAGCATGCATTTATATTGGTGGTGCACATCTGCAGATCCGTTGGTGCACATAACAAACGTATTCTGCACATGGATGGAAAAGTTAGAGGGAGCATTGCACAGCATTGCGAGTTATTCCATTTAATTTCCATGAAATGATGACCATTTTAACCCATGCCTACATTTAAAAAAAACCTTTCCATTTCATTTTACAAAATAATTGATCTTTTCCCACCAGCACTAGAATAAATGGTTTAATAAACAGTTGACAAATTCGGTCAATACAAACAATGACTCGCTCCATGGATCTCAATGTGCTTCACAAAGGAGGACAATGTTATTTCTTGTTTTAAATATGGGGAGACTGAGGCACAGGGAGGGGAAGTAACTTGGCCAAGGTTACCCACAAGGTCAATCGCATAGCTGGGAATCCAACCCAGATCATCTGACTTCCAGTCTGGTGTTGCAACCTTTAAGCCACATGGTCGATTTTGCCTTTCTGCAATGTCTTTCATCTGAAGGCCTGAGCAAGGGCTCTACAAACTGTATACATGTTAGGACAACCTCTGGGGTTTTAAATAGAGGGTGAGCACTAGGGTGTTTGATGCTTTGTAACCATGAGCAGAGGGTAATCTGCAGGGCCCGCAGCAGAACTGCACTCCTCACACTGGCACCTGCTACTTGGAAGGCAAACACACAGGAGGAGTTAGCAGCACTCAGTAGTTCGGGGCCGGAGTGACACTGCAATCTCCTGTTATGCATGGAATCCTACTGAGCAGCTAGACTCGAGACTTGGAAAGAAAAGGAGCTAGATGAGGATCCAGACGTGACTATTTCAGCTTTTGTATTCTAGAGCACCCCCTTGTGGCAGGGACTAAGTGGCAATGCTGTGGTTTCTCTTTGGGAACCTGAGAAGAAAGGTCTGTAGGGACCCACTCCTTGGGAATCCAGCTTTCTCCTTTTTAAACCTCCATGTATTCTCGTCTATGGAGTAGAGCAGGGTCAGCATCCTGTTGACCGTATAAACCGTGTCCCCCCTGATCACGGCAGTGAAAAGCGCGCCTTTGCTGTTCACGTATTGCCCTGGTAAAGCTGTCCACTGCAGAGTGGTAAGGTTGAAGCCGTCTATCACACACCGCAGGAAGTCGTCCGAGGGCCCGTTCCGCATGATGTAGAGATTATCTCTGTGGGCCACCATGCAGTGGCCATAGCTCTGAGGCCTCTTTAAGGCTGATATCGGAAGCCACTCATCTTTCTGGATCTCATACTCATAAATGATAGTGGTGTCTAGTGGCTTCCACAAGCAGACAAATATCCGTCCCATGGTCTGTGCGCAGGGTGCACCTGCTGTTGGCTGGGGTAGATCGGAGACAAAAGTCCAAGTGTTGGAGGACACGTTGTATTTCTCCACAGACTTTAGCAAGGTCTTTTCAAATTCTCCTCCTATGGCGTACAGATAACCTTCATGACCTGTCAGTGTGAGGTCATACCGGAGCTGCTGAGGGCTGGAAAACTCACTCCAGCTGTTAGCATCTACGTCGTAGCAAAACCCGAGGTCCACAATTTGTTTGCTTGCTCCGCGGACTCCACCCACTATGTAGATCTTATTATCCAATGTCGCCATGCCAGCCAGGAAGGTGCTAGCTGTCAGCGGTAAGCAGGAAAGTGTCTTCCACGTGTTTTCATCCTCATCCAGGTAGCAGATGGTTCTCGAAAGATCCTGTAGAAACTCAAAGGTTGGTGTATGGGCTCCCACTGCGACAAATGTGCTGGGCAGAAGGGAGTCCACGTAATCCAACAGGTCAGCAGAAAGACAGTCTAAGTACTCCTCTAAATCAGAATAGCTGTCTCTAATGAACAGGGCAGCACTATGGAAAAGGTCCAGCAAGCCAAACATGGCAGCAGCTTGATAAAGGACAATGCAGTTATCGGAATTGATGGAATGAATCAGGTACTTGGTCATCGACTTCACCTGAAGAAAAGCCGCACATTCGACCGCCTTCAGATTCTCCTCACATGTCAGCACAGGTCTCTCCCCTGCCAGGACTCGGAGCATGAGGAGAAATCCCACGGCACTCACGTCTCGGATCTGGATTTCGTCTTGCGTGCTCTCCTTCATGCCAGACTGGAAGAGCGCACGGAAGTACTCACTGTGTTCCACCAGCAGAGCCTTGTCCGTGGCGAAAAACTCCTCCTCCACTTGGATACGCACTCTTCCCCTCGGGAACGCCTGCATGATCTGAGCCTGAGCCACCCTTCTAATGCCGGGGACCTCAAGAGGGGAAGCAGGCCGTGGTGGTGTCTCAGTGCATTAGCAAGTATACAATGGAACCCAGAGCCCTTCTCAGTATGTCAGCTGCCTCCCAAGCAGAGCACGACTCCTAACTCTTCAGCGATGGTTTGCTAGCTTTCTGAGCCTCCCCAGACTCTAAGAAGCTGCTAACTTGTAATATAAATACCTCCAGCTAAAGATAGCTGTGCCCCATGTGATTGGAACTGCCAGCAATGAAAGACATGAACAGAGACTGTCATTGGCATCCATGGAGTTCTCTCATCAGCTGATACCAGTGGCATTTCTTCAAATGAAACACAGAGAAGCCACTCCAGGGATGGACAGCACTTGGCTGCCTGTTGGTCATGGGATCATCAAATAAAGGTGGAGTGTAATTGTACTGAACGGGTCCGATTCATCACAGCTGTAACTTGTGAAATCCCTGCAGGGGTGAGGTGTGGTGCTGATACCCCAAGAGCGTAGGTAGCCAGCACGGTTAAAATGCCACTCAGTGCCCTTGCCAGAAGTACAGGTTTGCCCCCACCCCATCAGGGTCTATCTCCCGTGAATTAATTAAGCACTGAAGTAAATCCTTTTTCCTCTCTCCGGTGTAAGTGCAGTAAGGAAAGAGGAGGTGATGTTTAGGTGCAAACAAGCTAGAATGTTATTCAGGATTGATTACAAAGGAGGGAGAAATGGGGAAATAACCTGATGCAGATTTGACAAACATAAAACAAAACTTGTGATCGTGATAGCAACAAATAGGGGGCTTGAAGCCCAGACCCTCTAGATCAAACCTTTGGCTTTGTGATTAAAATGGTAAGAAAACCCCTAATACAGCGACTCCTCTTTCCTCAGCACTTGGCAGAATCTGCTACTCTCAGGCTGGGGAGGAGCACTAGGGAGTCCCACAGTGTCCTGTCCTGGGCTGGCGGGTGAAGAGGAGTTGCAGGCTGGTGACAGTACAAGCAGTTTGTGCTGGTGAGGATGGTAAAACCCTCGTCTTCCTCCACTGCAGGCGCTGCTGGGATGGTCCCTCCTTGTCAGATGGTAGAACCACTAGGGCGCACAGCCCTGAGGCTGAGGCAACACAGTCCTTAGAAAGCCCCCAGGACGGGAAACGTCTGAGGAGAATAGAACGCTCATGATCACTGGGCGGGAAAATCCGGTTTAGGCTGGTCTCTGAGTGCTCGGTGCCTGAGGTGATCCAACATGGAGTCCTAGGTCAACGGTTACAATCTCCCATTGTGGGTGCCCCAATTACTAATGTAAACACCATCCTAACGTTAGATTTTAACAAGGTAGAACAATTAAATCATACTTAAACAAAATACCCTAACAGTGCTCTCCTGAGGTTACCTAGGCAGGTTGGTGGTATAAGTTTCCTGCCTTGTTGTGTATCTTGCTTGAGGCCATAAAGAGCCCTGGTTTAGGAGGCTGGCTGCTTAGCGTTTTCTAAACTTCAGGGCTACGCCTAGACTGCTCCCTCTTGTGCAAGAGAATATGCAAAAGAGGTGAAGCGGTGAATATCGCCACGCCTCATTTGCATACTTAATGAGCCGCCATTTTGCTCAAGGGGCTTTTGCACAAAAAGGAGCCATCTGACTCTACACTGCTCCTTTTTGCGCAAAACCCCTCTCTTGCGCAAGAGCCATTCTGCCACTTCTTTTCAGGAAGAACAGCTCTTGCGCAAGAGAGGGGTTTTGCGCAAAAAGGAGCAGTGTAGAGTCAGATGGCTCCTTTTTGTGCAAAAGCCCCTTGAGCAAAATGGCGGCTCATTAAGTATGCAAATGAGGCATAGCAATAGTCACCACTTTGCCTCATTTGCATGTTCTCTTGCGCAAGAGCGGGCAGTCTAGACATAGCGCTCGCCTCTTTAAGGCATCCCACAATCACACTTTTGAAAATCTTGCCTGGGGACTTCACTAGGTTTCCTTGTGGGCTTGCAAAGGCCTCTAAATGCTATTGATTTAGAAATACTTATAAGATGAGACACTTTGCTGTGTGGATCTCAAAAGGGCCAGATTCTGCTCTGGGTTGTGCCATTGGTCAGCATTTTTACTCCAGAATTACATCAGTGTGTCAGGGAGCAGAATTAGGGTGCACACATTGAACTTCCCTCTTTGGGGAGCAAGGTGCTATACCAGGGAAACTGAGGCACACAGCTGTTAAGTGGTTGTTCCACAGCAAGGCTATGTCTAGACTGCAGGCTTCTTTCGAAAGAGGCTCTTTCGAAAGCATCTTTCGAAAGAGCCTCTTTCAAAAGATCGCGTCTAGACTGCAGGCGGATCTTTCGAAAGAGAAATCCGCTTTTTCGAAAGAGAGCACCCAGCGAGTCTGGATGCTCTCTTTCGAAGACGGCCTCTTTACATTGAAGAACGCCTTCCTTCGAAAGAGGAACTTTCGAAGGAAGGCGTTCTGCCTCGTGAAACGAGGTTTACCGCCATCGAAAGAAAAGCCGCGTTCTTTCGAAATAATTTCGAAAGAACGCGGCTTGAGTCTGGACGCAGGGGAAGTTTTTTCGGGAAAAGGCTACTTTTCCCGAAAAAACCCCTGAGTCTGGACACGGCCCAAGTGTCTGGCAGAGCTGGAAATGGAGCACAGGTCTCTTCACTCTCCATTTTATGCTTTATTCGCAAGGACCATCCTTAATCTTTACATGTCTTAGGAGAGGCTTCTGAACTGTGATGCACAGAGCAACGGCTGGTGCTCCTCAGAGAGCCAGCTAATCACATGGTACTAGCTCCCCTTCCTAATTTCCAGATGTGGGAATGCTTTAAAGGAAGTAAATATATGTTCAGTACTTCCCTAATGTGACTTTTTCAGGTCAGCGATTGATGCACATGAGGGTTCTATTCTCCTCAGACTTTTCCCGCCCTGGTGGCTTTATAAAGCCCAGCACAACTGGGGTGTCTTTGAGAAAAATCTCTTTATTAAGATGTGGTCCACAGGCTGAGAATGTCTGAGAACTCACTTCTAGGAATTTCAGAGGCAGCTTTTCTACTTGGGTGTGTACAACATCTGACATGATCTCCTTGGGAGGAGCCAGAGCTCAGGGCAGAAATGACCATAGATATGATGTTCACTCATTGCCTTTCATCTCGCAGCTGTGGCTTTTTGTATGGCTGGAAAGAGCATGCTTTCCCTCTTCATAAAAGTAAGTTTATATGGCTTCAGGGAGATAACTTCTTGCATAAATCTCTGAGGCTTTAAGCCTGAATTGTGGGATTGTGCATCTGCCAGAAGACACTGCAAAAGCAGCATAGGGTCTGAGAGGGGAAAGATCCGGTATGGCTTTTGAAAGTTACATGGCTGTGGGTTCAGTGGATGAGAAAATACAGCATTCATTTTTGCTGTTACAATATCTCTTGGGTTGACAGCTGGACTGTGTCTATTCTACAACCTCAGCGCCTTCTTCTAGGCATAGTCCAACTTACTAGCTACTTCATTTAGGGACTTGGACAGATAAGGACAAGCATTTCCACATCTATGTGCCTTGTCGTGGCTGCAGTATCCAGGAGGTAGGATTAGCAATCTACTTTGTCCCTAATCTATGTGATTTGCATGTGGAAATGGGAGCTTTGACATCAATGGAAATTACCGCCCCTACTTATTGGTGGCTTTATCCACTCCGCACATCTATGCTGACCACAGTATAGTAAAGCAGAAGCTAAAACAATCCTCAGTTTGCCAGCTTAGTGAGAGGTAGAGCTAAGAAGGAGGTAGAGGTTTGTATCTCAGCTCTGCCCTGGCACTCCCGTGGCTGGGTTCTCGAACACCCCAGTAGGTAGGTAGGACAGGGTCAGCATCTCTCTGTAACACTGCTGTACTGTCTGCAGCTCCTCAGCCTCCACTCTTATCTGCTGGGCTCTGCTGCCTTTCATTCAGCTCTAGCTTGCGTGGAACTGGGTCAGTCCAGGCTGGCAATTTGGGAGAGGTGATTTGGAGCAGCCCAGAAATTCTGCGGTTGGATAGCATGCGTCCAAGTGACACCTCAAGGCCTAGCACAGACTAAGGAAGGAAACGGGAGCCCAGTGTACTAATCTCCCATGCAGCGGTCCTGGGATGCATTGGGAAGCACTGCTCTACAGAGCCACCCACAGGCCAGTTAGGAACTGCATTAGCTGCACTGCTAGGGCACGTCGACACAGCAAGGCTAAAGCCGAAATAAGCTACACAACTTGAGCTATGTCAATCATGTAGCTTAACTTGAAAGAGCTTATTTTGGCTTTTGGCACTGTCTATACAGCAGGAAGTCCAAGAAAGAGCACTTTTCCTCCGGCTTCCCTTTCTCCTTGTAAAATGAGGGTTACAAAAGTCGGAGTAAGAAGTCCTCCAGCTCTACATTAATTTGACATTATGCCGAAATAACTGCTTGTAGTGTAGATGCGGACTATGTTATTTCGGAATAATGTGAGTTATTCTGAAATAATGCTGCTCTGTAGACCTAGCCCTAGTTAGTCTTGCAGCAACGGGCGGAGATTGCATGCTGCTTTCGTGGCCTTTGGTTTTGCTCCCTCCCTCTCTCGGTGCATCAACCTGCAGTGAGGGCAAGGGACTATAGACCCTTGGGTATAGCCAGAGGTCAAGCTTGTGAGCCTTGAAAAGGCCTTCTGCTCTGTGTGGAGGGAGAAGGGAGGGAGAATCATTACTCTGTGGAGCCCTTTAGAGCCATTCCTGACCCAACCTGCTGGCTTGTTTATACTTTTGCTGAAGTTGCCGTATCATTTTTGGAGCCTCCCCTTCACTCCCTTTGCCCTCACTTTGTTTTTCCTTTCCTTTTTGTTCTTCGTCCTTTCTCCTGAACAACAGCTCCTTGTTGACAGCACCTGCACTCGGTGCTGGCATTGTACAGTCAGGTATAGTTGGCCTCTGCTTCCAAAAAGGAATAAGATTTCTTTGGACCCCATTCACCTGAGTTCAAGCCAAGACTGAGTCGTCATTGGCTGCAAAGCTGGTGAGTTCTGTGCATCTCTGCATGTGGCACTTTATGCAGTTTATCTAATGGAATAATTTGCATATGTGCAAATAATGTGCACGGAGTCATTTGTTTCACTTTATTGTCAACACGCCCTGCCCCAGGAAATGGTGGGGGTAAGACACAGAACTACGCAGAACTTGATGGTTGGGGGTCAATTAAGTGCTGGAGGTTGTCTCGGGTGTGGGAAGGGTGATGAAGCTGCTAGAGTGGGATGACTACGAGGGTAGATGGAGGAAGGGTGTGTCTGGTGCTTGTTTAGGGGGCTGATCACTGGCGTGTCCTCGAAGGGCTGAGTCTGGGCCACGTTGGGCCCTCATTGAGAACGCAAGCCCTCTTTCGCGAAGGATTTTGAAACTTGGCTTCATTCTGAAACAGAACAAAAATGGAACATTGCTCAATTCTCGGCAGAGTCCCCCAAACGTGTGTTCTGACCGAGTGAAACGTTTCATTTCGCTTGTGTTCCCTTTTGTATGGTAATTTACAACAGGCTGCCAGAAGCTGGGAGGGATCCCGCCCAGATTGCCCCGTTTTGCACACTCCCCACAGCCTTGGGACAGGCCGCTGTCAGAGAAGGGACACTGGGTTAGATGGATCATTGGCCCGGCCCGGTAGGGCAGCTCTTATGTGGGATGCGAAGCAAAGATAATTTAAGCGAAAAATTATTTCAGAATAAAAAATCACAGTGTTTGGTTCTGTGTTGACACTGATGGAACTTCTTCACTTCTTCCCAAGTGACATTCCAGCAAAATCGACTCAGCTTCACAAAGCGTTTGGACTGTGGCTCCGTCTACGTTACCCTGACCAGCAGTACCGCTCCCTTGTGTGTGTATCTCCCACGTTTGCTGCTGCTGGGGTCCCCAGCAAGAGCTATGACAGGAGAGGCTGGGAGGAGCAAATGCAACCTGACTCGATTTTGACGGGACACATCAGGAGCCAGCTGTGCAGCGAGAATGTATGACAGGACCGCCAGATGGGTGGGTGTCGTGCATGACACTCGGTAGCTTTGTAGCTGCTGCTTGGATCTCAGATCTGCAGGGGATAAGAAGCAGCATGTAGGCAAACTGCCAGGGGGTAAAAATGATCAATTGGCTGAGCAGGCAGATGTTAGAGCAGCAGACGGACGCAGGAAATTCAAGGTGCGGGGCACTGTCCCATCTAGAGGCACTGAGACCACTGACAGAGAGAAGAATGAGTTTCCTCTACAGCCTTAGCTACCAGCCAGCTGGCTTTTAGCTCATGCAGTTGAGGCTCATCCACTAAGCTCCAGAGGTCCCAGGCTTGATTCTGCTTGTCAACGTGACACTGGTCCACCGCTGACTCACCATGTGGACAAACGGCTCACTCTCTGCTCTGTGCTTCAGTTTCCCCACTGGAGAAATGCAGGTGGCGGTAGTCAGCCAACCCTTTGAAAGTGCTTTGAGATCCTGGTTTGAAGGAGCTGGGCAGGGGCAACATATTGGTTTGCGGGCAAGCTGTATATCATTGCTGCCCAGTGCCTCCCTTTTCTTGTGTCTCTTGGTCTCTGAGATGGTTCCTGACCACCTTGTTCAAAGCAAGAACATTCAACTCGCTGTTTGATCAGATAGCCGATTCCTTATCCATCACAATGACCATACAATGCCCTAGTACATCTACTGTGCGGTTGAATGGAGGCCATTGGAAAGACATGCGTCATGCTTAGTACGAGGATGCTGCCCCTACAAGAGAAAATATCCCACATCCCAAAAGCCACCTGCAAAATCAGCTCTAACCAGCCCTCATCCCGGCAGAGATAAGTGATTGAATGGACCAAGGACCACCACGCCTCTAGAGCCGGGCTACTCCGCTTCAGAAGCCCCAGGGACCATAATGATACTCGCAGCATATGCCGAGGGTGGCAGCTTAAGTGTGGTTGCAGATACATGCAAATATATATGCAAATAGCTTCTTTCACACTTGACAGGCATGAATATACAGATTAAAGCAAGACTCCACAACACACAAGCCCCATTTAAGTCAGTTCTGATTATATTAATAAAATGCAATATTTACCTGATTCCCACCCATATGACAGCACTTTTAATGAGCAATGACAGTCCAGGAATTTAACTACTAAAACACATTTCAACAGAAGACCATTATATTGACGACTTGTTCATTTTGGCTCCCACCCACATGCCGTGTGTTGAGTCCCATGTAAATCCAAACCCTCAACGCTGTGTTGAGCCCCATGTAAATCCAAACCCTCAACGTAAACAAACAGGCCGTATGCAGCCCATGGGCCACGTGTTGATTAGCCCTGCTCTAGAGGAAGTATACTGAGTCTAAGGTGACCTGCAGGGAGTGCCTACTTAATATTATGAGCGTGTAAACCCAGGATGTTCTATTTTCTGGTCCCCGGCAGAAGGACAGGGTTGAAAAGCCAGCTCTGCTCCGCTCACAGTGCGTGGTCTGGCCATTCCTGAGTGCTGCATGACCACCAAGGTGCCTCTGAGTAACAGGGTATTACTCTCTTGTGTTCGGAACCCACTGGATCCTGGCCAGAGAAGAACAGCTGTTTCTTTTCTTCACAAACAGCTTTTCTGTCTTGTTAAGGTTGCCATGGATCCATCCAACTGGTTAACAGCTGGAAAAGGGGCAGCTGCCGAAGGCTTCCCATTACGCTTCTAAAATTATGGCTACACAAACATCTCCTGCTGACACAGGCTGTAGGGAAGGTTGTGAGTCCCCCCACCCCCTGGAGCAGTGTGCAAACCAGGGAAGAGGCTTCGGGAAGAACATTTCCAGCAGCCTGTATCATTTCAGTCCCAAATACGTTGTTGCCATGCTGGGGAGCTGTCTGATGTGATGAGAGAGGAGCAGAATGGGAAATTAGGAGTCCTCGATTCTAACCCCAGTTCTGCCACTGTCACCTTGGGTGAGCCATTTAAACTCTCAAGTCTCCTTAGTTCACATAAAAGACATCTGGCAGAGATGACCTCCAGATGATAACCCCGGAGCAGGGACCGTCTCCCGCTGGTACAAACTCCCCTGCACCGCCTGCATCTCACGGGTATACTGGGATGGGTGCAGGTGTGTGTACCGGTGCGTATGGTAGGGGGTGTATCAGTCACGCTCTGCATTCTAGCTCTGCTGGGCTATAGGAAGATGCAGTCAGTTAAAGCAGACCTCAAGGCTGCTCTAACTTACATTGGAGTCCAAGCAGGCTCCCAGCTATGTCCAAGAATCTGGGAGTGGGTGGGGAACAAAGCTATCTTTGCCTCCTATTATGGGCCGCATTGGCTGAGAAGTGCAGTGCAGACTCTGGTCCCCCACGTCAAATTCAGAGCCGGTGTAAACAGCATCACGTCTCTTGTCTGCAAAGTAGAGAGTTGAAATACATTTCAGAACCTGAAGCGTCCCCTGTAAGCTGGGTGCTTGTGCAGCCGCTCAGGAGAGTCCAATGCCACCCAGCTGATTGGCAGAGCGCCCCAGCTAGGTTCATCTGATGAAGTGTTTTTTACCCACTAAAGCTTATGCCCAAAGAATCTGTTAGTCCAGTGGTTCCCAACCTTTTTTATACGGCAAACCCATTCACAAACTTTTGGCGGACCGGAATCATTTTATTTGCAAATAATGAATATTCAAATATGCAGATAAATGTTACCAGTCTGTCAAAAGTTTGTGAATGGGTTTGCCAGGCCGTGGTATAAAAAGCCCCAGTCCCCAGAGCTGCCCAGTGCCAGCCCTAACCTCTAGAGCCCCCCACTCCTCCAGTACCCCCCAGCATGGAAATGAGTTCAGATTCTGCAGGAAAGAAATAATTCATAGGGAAGATCGGGATCCAGTACCCCCCAGCACCAGCCACTGACCGCAGAGTCCCCTGCACCCAACCCCCCCCCAGTGCCAGCAACCCATCCCAAACGCCTCAGTGCCAGCCCTCTGCCCCTTAGTGCCCCCTACCAGCAGTCTCCCCAGTTCCAGCCTCCTGCTTCCAGAGCCCCACTGCACCCAACTCCCTCAGGACCCGCCCCTAGAGCCCCCTAGTGCCAGCTCCGCACCCCAGACACCCAGCCCCAGAGCCCCCCAGTATTAGCTTTGCCCCCAGAACCCTCCAGCATTAGCTGCACTCCCCATAACCCCCTGTGCCTGCCCTGCCCTCTCAGCTAGCCTTGTGCTGCCTCCCAGCCGCCAGCTGATGTGCTGGGCTCCATGCAGCTCTTCTGTGGCCAAGAGGAGACCCTGCCCATGCCCAGCACTGGTTGGCTGAGAGGCAGGGCAGGACATGCCTCTCCCAACAGCCACGGTGTGAGGGGAGGCACTGGGCATGTACCTCAGCCCTGGCTCCTATAACCACTGTGGTCTGGCAGCCAGTGGTTTAGGAACCACTGTGTTAGTCTTTAAGGTGCCACAGGACTTGTTGCTTTTGCAGATACAGACTAACACAGCTACCCCTCTGAGACACAGCTAGATTGTGCTGATCTTGGTGGTGCACATTTGCACATGCATCAGTGCACACAACAAAATGTATTCCACACATGAATGGAAAAGATTAGAGGGAACATTGATTACCTGCCACAGCAGGGTTTTGTGAGAGTTAAATCATGTTTATCAGCTGGTTTGTGAGTCTCAGGTGTGCAAAGTGCAGTGGGGGGAGGGGTTGTATTTGTTTTGCTGTACACGGTTTGTTGCCTTTTGTGCCCCAGGTCTAGATGAGTTGCAGCTGATTGTGTGCACCTGTTTCTGCAGCACGCTGGATGCTGCGCTCCGGCCAGGCTGAGCAGTGACTATTTACATAGAGCTATGATGTGGGAGAGTGAGGAGAGTGCTTTTCTATGGCCAAGATGATTTGGAACATTCCTTCGAACAGACGGAACGGGTGCCTAGCCAGGAGTAACAACGAGGGGAGACGACCAGCTGGACTGCACATTCCGTGGCAGCAGGTCAGAAATGAGAAAGAATGAATGGAGTGTGGGTGGGGGTTTGGGGGTGTCTATTTCAATCACACAGAAGAGACCCCAAGGTGGCAGGAGGTTCCAAACTGGGCTGACTGGCTTGTATGCTTTGAATCTGTTAGGCTACGTCTAGACTGCAAGCCTCTTTTGAAAAAGAGCATCTAGACTACAACCAGTATTTTTGAAAAAGCAAGCCGCTTTATCGACAGAGAGCACCCAGGCAGTCTGGATGCTGTCTTTCGAAACAGCACAGTTTGCATTCCATAGTGCCTTTTCTCGAAAGAGCACTTTCGAAAAAAGGCGTTCTTCCTCGTAAAATGAGGTTTTCCACGGTTGAAAAAACTGCCACGTTCTTTCGATTTACTTTTGAAAGAATGTGGCAGCAGTCTAGACGTAGGGGACGTTTTTTTTTTTTGAAAAAAGGCCACTTTTTTTCGAAAAAACTCTGTACTCTAGACACACCCGTAGAGATTTATGGGAAGCTAAATCAAAGATGATGGCAAAGGGGGCACCTCGGGCCCCTTTGAATTGCTGCTGGGTGTTCCACGTGGCTTTGGGGGCTGCAGGGCTAAACTCCAGGTGGTGCCAAGGGCTGACCGCCCTTGGCCCCACCCTTTCCTCCTTCAGATCTGCCCCTTCCAGGGCAGAACTGCCCCCCATACCTTGTCCCTAGGCCTGCAGTGGCTCTGCTGTAGAACAGCACGATGCAGCCTTTATCTACGTCGCACTGGTGGGAAGAGAACAAAGGGGACTCATCCGAGGACGGTCTCCCCTTTGCTGGTGTCCTTCTACCTTCCCTTCACCGAAAAAAATTCCCTCCCTCCAAAAACAGAAATCCGATCTAAGCAGCAGCAGGACGCTCTGTGGAATGTTCAAATAGGCGGCACAGCAAGAGTTTGCTTCTTAGCAACAAAAATGTTGTTCTGGGTTGACTTCAGTTCACCATGAGGTTTATGATGAAGCAAGGTCCATCTTATTAATAGAAGTTCAGGGCAGGAGGGGAATTGTTCTGACCATTTAGGCCTGACTCCCTGCCTCGCACCGGCCAGAGAATTTCACTGAAAAATTCTGGTGTCAAGCTCAATAGCTTGTGGCTGAAAAAGGACACGTCTTTGGGAAAGAGGGCCAGCCGTGACTGACGACCCCAAATGATGGAGAACTTCCCACATTCCTGATTAATGTGTTCCAATGGCTAATTATCCTCCACCTTGAAATCATGCCTCTGATTTCCAGCAGCAGCAGCAAAAGAAAAATGAAGCAAAGCAAGGGCAGGCTCGCCGACAGGGGGGGCAAAAGGGGCAATTGCCCCAGGGCTTGGAGATTCAAGGGGGGCTGGAGATTCAAGGGAGGCAGCAGTGGCAGCTGGAGCCTCCGTCCTCTTTGAATTGCCATGGGAGCACTGCTCCACGACTTCACTGGGGACTGAGTGTGGGGGAGGGAGGGCATGCTGTAGTTTTGGCGGCACTAAGGGCTGACAGTCCTCAGCCCCGCCCCTTCCATCGGAGGCCCCGCCCCTTCCATTTGAGGCCCCGCCCCCCAGCTTGCCTTGGAGCCCACGGTGGCTGTTGGCCCCGCTGAGCAGAAGGAACTAGAGGTCTGACAAATGGAAAGATCCTTCTGTCTCAGGAGGCGATAGTAGCCTCCATCAAAGATGGTCCTCTCTCTGGAGAAGCGCAGAAAGCTGTTCACATGATCCTGCTGTTTCTTCTGTGTGGGATTAGCTGTCAGTCTCTCACCCTCGACGAGCCTCTCTTGTCCAGCAGTCTTTCCCCACATTCCCAGTGTCCGCAGAGGGTACAGAATGCCAAGCGACAAAGCCACCTCCAACCTTCTTCAAAGCCCTGGGCTGCAGCACAGCCTGCCGGCGCCAGGCATAGCATATGTATCCAGTTTTCAATAAAAATGGCACTAAAGCTGACCAGTAGAAAGAACGGATCACATTTCCAGCCCCAGCTTCTGCACTCGCCTACCTTGTTTTGCACCAAAGCTGTTACAGCACGTGCAAAACTGGTTGCACAGCATTTGGCATGGGAATGTTATTTGGAGGTGATGTGCGGATCCATGCCTGGTTTTGAGCATACAAAGGCTGGAGGCTCAGCTATCAGTCCAGAACCCTTCCCGTTTCAGAAGGCACTGATCTGAATCTCTGAATCCTCGGGCATTTTATGTCCATGTCAGAGCCAAAAGGGACTCGGCTCTTGGTTCTGACTTGCAAGCAACCAAAACGACAGGAGAAAAACAATCTAATATCTAATCTAAATATAAGGCAGGTTTTCTGAGGGTCATCAATTCGCGTCTAAGGCCAGAAGAAATCACTAAGACTTTCTGCTCTGCCTGCATAAACAGGCTGTAGAACTTCCTCTGGACTAATTTCTGTTTGAACGAGAGCCAATCGTCTAGAAGACCATTGGGTTGTTTCTGGTTCTTACAGTCTCTGCATAGCAGGACCCTAATCTTACCACTTCTTGCCACCCTCTCGGTTCCAGTCTCAACTCAGAGAAGATGGAAGAGTTGATTGCCACAGTCCACGCCTAGCTGCATGTCATGCGACGCTAGTGCTAAAGGTCCACCAAGTGATGGAGAAGCCTGTGTACTAAGGGGAACCAGGTGCTACTGAAGAGCATGGGGAGAACTTAGATGAAAGCCCAGGATGCCTCAAATCTGTAAAGATAAAGCACAAAGTGGAGGGTCAGAACAACACTATACAAAGGTCCCCTGCTTTCTTAACAGTACTGATCCCCTTTAGCATGGAGGGAGCAGCGAACCAATGCCTCCAATTTTGAGGATGGGGTTGGGTGTGTTTTTCTCTTTGCTGTCAGCCAGGCACCTCTTTGTGCTGTCAAATCAGCCTCCAGCTTCTGAGCATACGCCAACTTGTCCTTTGACCCCCATGGGGCACGTTTACATTGTGGCATCAGACACGGAGGCCGGAGAAGATGCTGTTTTACCTGCAAGGGCGTTTACACCAGTGCCAGGGGCAGCAGAATGCAGTGTGGTTCGTTTGGTTTCTGGAGGGGCATGAGGTGACAGGTACAGTGTTGGGGCCTGATCCCAAGAGGTGCTGAGGTCCCGTCGCTCTCCTTGCAGTGCTGACAGCAGTGGGGAAGATAGGGCCCTACAGCCAATCAAACCCAATGGAAAGATCATGGGAAGAACAATGAATTACATCCCACCCACATAGTTCCTCCTACCACAGTTTATAACTGGGACGGTTCTTCCCCACATATTGCATGCTCTTTACCAGAACAGACTCACAGTGTTTTCACTGGCTTCCTGGCTGTGGTTTGGCGTCTGGTGCATCGATCTTATTTTGTGAGTCAGAAGAACTATGTCTGGTCTTTCCCACATGTCACTCACATGTGTATGTTCAGTAAAGAACTGCCCTGATTCAGTTAGGAAGGGCTCTCCGTTGGTTTCAGTGCAGCTCTGCTGCTTTACAACAGCTGAGAGCTGGCCTGGGAGCTAGCTTTTGGCAAATTAAGGCCTTTTGAGTCCTTACAATCATTGCTTGTGGTCAAGGTTTGTATTTACAGTGTAATTTCACCCAAGTGATCGCACTGCTGGATGGCTTTTTTAAAGTTACTTGCCATTTTGGGGGGCATTGTTAACCCAAATAGCATAACCGCCAGGAGCCACAGATGCAATCTGAGTTGTGCTAGGAAAGCAATCTGAAGAACAGGGCTACTAGTGTATCAGAAGACCGTAAAGCTCTCTAGCAAACACTGAGCTCAGTCCTGCTTTCACTGAAGTCCATGGGATTTTTGGCATGAATGTCAAGGGGAGCAGGGCACAGGCCAGTAGCTGCATAAATGCAACACACTTCCAAACCTCCCTAATCAGAATATTTCTATTGCACGTCTCATGGCCAAAGTGGATTGTGCTCATTCTGTGCAAAGGAGGTAGTTACACTGTGTCCTGGATGAAAGGAGAAAGAAACTGAGGCAGTGAGAGGGGAGGCAACTTGGGTTAGTGGATAGAGCTCTGGATGGGGTCCAGAGACCTGGATTCTATCCTCAACTCTACACAGAGCAGATGTGTGACCCTTGGAGAAATCGTTTCCGCTGAGTCTGCCTTGTCTATTTAGGTTGTAAACACTTTGGGGGCAGGGTCAGCCCCAAGCATCCTGGGTCCCCGATCTCAAGAAGGGGACACTAGTTGCCGCCACAATATGTGTGATTAATCACCATTTAAAGTGGCTTACCTGAGAGCACCCAGTGGTAGTGTTATGATGGGAATATGGTGGGTACGTCTACACTGCCGGGAAGCCTCACAATTAGTCGGAGGCAGGCTTCCTTAATGTAAACGTGCTACCTCGATTTAGAGTCCCAGGAGGCACTGGGGAGGAATAACTTAGGGATGGCCCTGAAGAGGGACTATTTCGAAATAGCAGCAGTGGAGTGTCTACACAGGCCTTATTTCGATATAGCTACTTCAGAATAGGCGTTATGCCTCATAGAATGAGGTTCACAGATTTTGGAATGAGCCATCTGGTATTTCAAAACTATTTTGAAATAACGGAATAGCTGGGTAGACACTTGCATTGTTATTTTGAAATAACGCCAGTGGTCTCAAAGTACTGGTGCAGTATAGACGCACTCGGTATCTTCTATCATGTGCCCCTTTATTCCTCCAGCTCATGCTGCTGGAAGAAAATCACTTGGTTGGAAGTATTTTCTGGTGCGTCCCTTCATCATGTCTTAAAGGCTGAGCTAAAGAGAGAATCTTTCACACATATCCGGCCCCTCCCCGGGTATCCTGGAGATTCTGCTTGTAAGATTTTTCAGTATCTGTAGTCTAACAAAATAGCTATATAAAGACATGTACCATAAAGTACTATTTTTACAAACCCTGGTTGCCAGATCTGATATCAGCAGAGCGGAGGCTAGCTCATGCTTGCGGGCAAGGCCCACATGGGTCAAAGGAAAGTACTAGGCTGTTAGTGTCAAAACGATTTTTAGTTTACGGATGTGAGCTAAACAAATTCCAGCCCTTCACCTGAAGCCTTAAGAACAGGGGGATTTTATGGGGATTTTTGAAAGACCGTTTTTTAATCATTTAAATATTTATATTGCTCTGCCTCTTAATGTTTTCCCCTTTGGCTCCAGGAGTGATTACCACAGCTCTCTCATGCAGCAGCATCTCTGACATGTTGTCTTTGCGTTTGTTGCTGTGATTTATCTCTCCAAATGCCTGGCAAGGGCTTGCATTTGAAAAAACACTTAGCTCTGAACTCAGATTAATTTTTAACACGTGTATGCAACATTCCCAAAAGAGAAGGGCTGCTAAGGCCTCTCCTTGGTGCACCTGGGGGCAAATTGGTACCTGGGAATAGATTGTGATTAGGTATGAGTGGGGCGTGAAGAAGGGGGGCGGGGTTTCTGTGGGTGCTAAGAGCTGTGTCCTTTACCCTGTGAGCTGTTCAAGGACCCGATGCAGCCTTTGTCGGTGCTCTCCAAACACGCAAAGACTTGAGGCCTTAGCTCTGCCAGAGGCACTAGAAGTACCATAGGGACCTTCTTATAGGGTGTTGTGTGCACTTTCCTTGTGCGCGCTCAGAGACACCCGTCTATAGTCAATTCCTTTGCACAGGACTAGTGCAAAGCAGCTGTGAACCAGTGGAGCCAGCTGGCTGGGCATTCCCCACAGGCAGTGTTTCTCAAACTTTTTGGCCTGTGGCCCATCCTGCTCCATGAAGCCCTTTCCAGGGACCACCTGCCAACCACCCATGATGACAAAATGGGTGCAAGAGAGGGTTGGGAGTGGGGGGTCTAGCCAGAAGATTGGGTGCAAGCGTGGGTCGAGGGTGGAGGGGTCTGGCCAGAAAGTTGGGTGCCAGAGCCGGCTGAGGGTGGAGGGGTCTGGCCCAAAGGTTGGGCACTGGAGCGAGCTGAGGGTGGAGGGGTTCTGGGATGGAGGGAGGGTGCAGGAGCGGGGTGGAGGTGCAGGGTCTCAGAGGAAGGGAGGCACATGAGGGGATGGGGATGTGAGATCTGGGCATGAGGGATATGGGAGGGGGGGTTACTTGGCTCCATGCCTCCCGCAGCTCTCGGGCACTGCCCCGCCTGCTCTCATTGGCCATGATTCCAGCCAATGGGAGCAGCAGGGAAAGCCTCCAGGCAGCGGGACGGGGAGCAGCAACCCGTAGAGCAACATCCTTTCCCTGCAAGCTGGATCTGGCCCACAAGGCTCGCCTTGCCTCCCCTCCACAGTGGGAAGTTGGCGCTGGTGCTCCAACGAGGCTGGAGCACCAGCACTGGTTCCCCATGGCAAGGGAGGGTAATCCCTGAGCCTGCAGCCCACCTGCAAGACTGTTGCAAGCCACTAGTGGTCCGCAGACCATACTTTGAGAACCATTGCACTAGGGCAAGGGCATCCCTAGGTCATCTTAGAGTGGACTGCCTGGCACTTGAACCCCCATCCGCTGGTGTAAGGACTGTGTTGCTCACAAGGCTAAGAAGTTGTCATGCCCAGAGCACTGCTGTCCTCTGGCAATCCCTGGTTTGCATACTAGCCATCTGGGTATTTTGGAGAGGCACTGAGGCTAACCAATGCTGGGGGCAGGGCCAACCTAGGAGTAGGCCAAGGATCAGCAAGCTACAAAGGGCAACCGTGAACCCCTTAGTAGCACCTACTACAAACTGTGATAGAAATGTAGCCATGTTAGTCTGGTGTAGCTAAAACAAAATACAGGACTATGTAGCACAGGACATACCACACTAATACCAACCCTGGTACCTTCCCTTGCAACAAACCCTGTTGCCAGCTTTGTCCACATATTCACTCTGGTGACACCATTATTGGGCCTAACCAAGTGAGTTATAAGATCAAGAACATATATTCCTGCGCCTCCAGAAATATAATCTATGCTATCATGTGCCGAAAGTGTCTGTCTGCTATGTACATTGGACAAACGTCTCAGACACTTCGCCAAAGAATCAATGCCCACAAAACAGACATTAGACATGATCACAAAGAAAAAACAGTTGCTTGCCATTTCAACCAGAAAGGACACTGTCTCAATGACCTACTCACCTGCATCCTACTTCAGAAGACATTCAAATCTGCACTTGAAAGAGAATCCTCTGCACTAGCATTCATGCTAAAATTCGACACTCTCCACGGAGGCCTGAACAAAGACTCCAGGTATCTTACCCATTACAAAGATAGCTTCCCCAATTATCACCTCTAATACAATTAACTCACAGACATCTACCCTTCCCTACCTCTAATATCATTAACTCACAGGCATTTACCTTCCTTCTCCTCCCCCTCCCCCCCGCCGCATCCCTCTTCTGTTCTGAAATGTGATTTTTCCTTTTCATATGTGTTCTTTTTTTTTTAATTGTATCCTTTGGTATATATGGTTGTGACTATTTTCTTCCACTATTTGATCTGAGGAAGTGGGTCTGGCCCACGAAAGCTCATCATCTAATAAACCATCTTGTTAGTCTTTAAAGTGCTACATAGTCCTGTATTTTGTTCTACTACAAACTGGACACAGCAGAGCACCTGGGCCAGTGGCCCCGTCTCTCGGAGTTGGTGGAGAAGCCCAGCCCCTCCTCCGAGGTGAACAGAGCCCTCAGACAGGAGTGCACACTGGTGGCTGGCTGCATGTTTTGGGGCTTTACTGGCTACTGGCACAGCCACAGGGCTTGGTGTTCTCAGCACAAGAGAAGCCAGGTCTACACTAGACCCAGAAGGTCGGCTCTAGGTATGCAGCTCCAGCTAGGTAAATAACGTAGCTGGAGTCAACGTACCTGAAGCCGAGCTTGGTGCCGTCTTCACAGCGGGAGGGCGATGGGAGCAAATGCTCCGGTCGGCTTCCCTTACTCCTTGCAACTGCGAAGGGTACCAGCACTGACTGGGGGCACCCTCAGTGTTCGATTTAGCAGGACTTAACTAGACCTGCTAAATCGAATGCCAGAAGATTGATCTCCGGCACAGCAAGTGGAGATGTGGCCTCAGTTGTTACAAATGTTTGGCAAAAGCCCTTGCACAGAAACAATACCGCACAAGAGGAGGTGGCATGGCCTAATGGTTAGGGCAGGCCTCTGTGTTCTGGTTCTCAGCCCTGACAATGATCTTTGGGCCTCTATGTGCCCCTTTCACTGAGGGGTGTGTGTGTGTGTGTGCAGTATTTTCTTCAGGGGGTGCCTTGAGGCTGAATTAATAATGGGCTTTGAGACTCATAGGGTTGTCACCAGACAACCGCAAAGTGCAGCTACTGCTGCTTTATGCCCCCTGAGTGTAGCCCACACTGTGTTTGGGGGTGACTGGAGTGGAGGCATTTGGGAGCCTGCGCTAGTTCTATTGAAATCAATGGAATAGCTGTGAGGAAAAGGTAGAGGCTAGAATCAGCTCCTTTGACCTCATACTAGGCCTGGCACCTTTTCAGAAGGCTGCACATTGGTGTGGCTGCACTCAAGACGACAGAGCTAAGCCAATTCACGCCCTCTGAGGCCAAGGCACTGAAAATGGACAGAGCAGTCGTGCTGCCAGGAAGGCATCCTGGGCCTGTGTTGTCTTCCTTGGGACAGCGCATGTGTTTCAGGGTCTGCCTCTGCAGCCGTTGCTCCGCAAGGCCGTCTCACTGGGCCGGATTCAAAGCTTCCTTTGGAGCTGTGCCTAATTTACGCTGCCATGAGATCGGGGGCTGGGCCCCAAAGAGGGGCTGTTTGTCTAACGGCAGCAGGATTAGCCCCCATGTTAATTAGGCCGGGAGGCCTGACTTTTCCAGCGCTTTGCCGTGTTTATGTAAGGGCCTTGCTAACAGCACCATTAATCACAATCAGTGCCAGCTTTGGGCCCTAGTGAACTGGCGGGTGTTTTGATAAGACTGTTTTATGTGAGCTGCTAGGAAAATGAGTCATTTTTGCACTGGAGCTACAGTAACCACCAGTTACCATATTTATCGCAAGAAAGGTCAGTGTGAAAACCTGGCGGTGCCCCGGCAAGACCACTGCATTCCCAGCCCTGAGAAGAAGCTGATTGATGCATCTAGCCGATAGCATCACCAGAGCCAGTCTCCAAGGCGCAGGCTGGACTGTTGCAATCGGGAGACTATTTCTGGCTGGTTTAAAAATAACTCCCTTGTTTTCACAGATGACAGGCGGGATAATAATGTTGTAATGATGTATCTTAAAAGAGCTGTTCATCCCCAGGGAGCAATTTGCTAAGCAGGAGCCCAGGCCTGCTTTCTCTCCCAGCGAAATCCCTGTGTGAGCAAGGCCATGTCTACATTTGGGCTTGCCAATTGGTAATGTTTAAAAACCGGACACTCGAGTAGGAGTGCCAGAACCACCCCTCCCCCACCTCTTCTCCAAAAGCCCTGCCCTTGTCCGGTTCTTCTCCCCAAGGTCCCGCCCCATCCATTCCTCTTTACCCCTTTCCCTAGTCGCTCACTGCTTTTCCTCTCCCTTTCCGCCCCAGTCTGGTTCAGGAGGGACTTGCCTGTGGGGCCAGGGCTGGGCGCTGCTGGCACCTGGTGCAGGTAGGAAGCAGCACTGGCTGAGTAGGCTCAGGTGATGGTCCCGTAGCCCCCCTGCCTACCCTGCCCGCAGTAGCCAGACTTTGGGTGTCCAGTCAGTAGCTCTGTCTGGACACTGCCAGGTACCCTTTGAGACCGGACTTCCCGGGTATAAACTGGGCACCTGGCCACCCTGCCTACGTTAGGGCAGGGATAGCGGTGTAGCCATGGCACCATAGAGAGGCTGCCATAACCCCGGAGTGTAGACGCAGTCTATAGCAACGGAAGGGCTTTTCCCCATCACGGTAGAGAAGCTACGTCCTTGAACGATGGCAGTTGGCTCTCGGGGAGCACTCTTCCATCACCGCGGCAAGGCCGGTGCAGCTGCTGGGCACAGAGGTGTGGACTGTTCATACCCCTGAGCGCTGCCGTTCAGTTGACCTGAATTTTAGGTGTAGGCCAGGGCTAAGAACAGCAGGATGGATCCCCAAACAAGCACACATGGTCTGTGTGATCCAAGTAGACAGGGCCGGCTTCTGATCTGGTAAAAATCGCCACGGAAACACTGATTTGAGTTTACACCACCTACTCTGATTACACCAGCTGAGTTTGTTTCGCTTTCAGTTGATGGTTGTAATGTATTATTAGGGGATTTTTTGGGGGGGAGGGGGTTTGCTTATTTTCTTGCTCCCAATCTGGCCTTTCAATTGGCAGAAGTATTAGTCCTATTAATGCTTGTGGGAGCAGGGAGATTTGCAAATGAGGAGCAGACAGTCGCTATAGCAACCGCGATAGTGTTCTATCAATCTCTTACAGCAAACGAACGAATGGAAGGAGTGAGAGCTAGTGGTTAGAGCAAAAGGGCCAGGATGTCTGGGTTTTATTCCTGACTCTGCTGGGAGTCGGGGGGAGGGGGGGACGACGACTCCATGGAGTGCAGGGAAGTCACTTTGGATTTTCACTGATCTAACTGGGAGCTGAATCGGACTCATTGTCTTCAGCTGTATTTGGTCGCTCCCTGGAAAAAGTTGGCCTCTGCTAACCTTCAACTAACTGTCACATGAAAAAATATATAAACATCATCTGAGCTCTTAAACTCGGCTGGGCGGCTTCACTTCCCAAAGCAGCCGAGATAGCTGCTGAGATACGCTTTGTGTTATGGCAGCTCCTAGAGGCGCTACTCAGAGATCCCCCCCCTTGGGGCTGGACACACGGATCACAAAAGCCTGGTTCCTGCCCCTCCCTCCCCAATACGTCCAGTCCAGGTAAACAGAGTCCCATGGGATTGCTTATTTTCTTCAGATGCTCGGAGTGTATTTAGACAAGCACCCCCATAATTACCCAAGTCGGTTCCTGTGAACCAAAGCAAAACCTCCCTGGCCGCTAAATCTCAGACAGGATCAAAGAGTTGGAAGGGCAGCCTTGTGGATAGTGCACTGGGCTGTAGCTCAGGGCAATTAGGGTCTACCCCTAGCTCAGCCACAAGCTTCCTGCATGATCCTAGGCGCTCTGCTCTTGCCTGGGGGTTCTCTCTGTGTTTCTGCACAAGAGGATCGCGCAGGAGGGACCCAGCGTGCAGAGGAGATGACAGGCACACACATCTCTGTTTATTTATTACGGAGCAACTGCACATCTTTGAGTGGCGGCTGAAATAGTGGATAGGCTCCCGGGGAGCCGTGTGATTCGAGGAGGGCTTGGAAGGAGGAGAGGGTGGGTTCCTAGGGAGGTTTTCCCTTCTCCTTTTAACAGCTCCTTGCAGCCGCCTTATCTTCCCAACGGAAGTATTCGTAGTGTGTGCGCTGCGGGGATGCTGCGCAGCACAGGGTGATGCTGGAGGGGCCAGGACTTGGCAGAGAGAAGCCCTCAAGGGAACCACAAGTGGCTGGGTTTCTTTCCCCTCTAACCAAGAGCCCTGGAGGCCTTTTTTTGCAGGTTTATTTGTTTGCTATGAGGAAAGTCCCCCGCGCGGATGGGAAATCGCGTCCAGCGCGGCCGGAGCGAGGCAGCAGCTTTCCTTACAAGGAGTTTGGCTGGGACTCAGCTGGCGAAAGTTGCAGGGAGTCTGAGCTCTCTTCCTCCCTGCCTCATTCATTCACGCACGGGGCTGAGGTCTGGAGCCAGCAGCCGTGGGGATGGCGCAGACGCTGCGTTCCCAGTGATTCACTCAGCTCCTCCGTGTCCGGGGGTTGGCTCGTTGCTCTGGATTCAGTGTGCGGGTGCCAGGCTGGCCCTGCCTTGAGGAGGCGTGGGCCTGCGTGTGGATGCGAGCGTGTGTGTAGGGGGCAAACCATGGAGCTGTGGATATAAAACAACAAAATCCACTCAGCACCCTCATCCTCTCTGTGTCCCTCATGAAAATCCAGCTCTGATTTCAAGGTTAGAGGACTCATTTATCTTCTGTTTCTACTCGCGGGAGGGGAGGGCACAAGGTTAGGGGCTCAGTGACAGCCTGGTCTTCTGCAAAGCAAGCATCCGTTTTCCTGGGCCCAGGGTGGATTTGGTTGAGAGCGGAGGGGGAAGGGGGGAATTGCAAGGAAAGACTCAGTAAAACGTAGGGTGAATTCTTCCCCGCGAGGAGGGGCATGCAGCGGGGAGGCTGCGCTTTGCTTAATGAAAGGATGCAAAAGAAATGGCCCTGAGGAGGACAGGAAAGTTCTGTTGTGTTCCCCTCCCATGACGCTTCACAGCCTTGACTTCCCAAGCTCTGTGGCTGTTCCTTTCTTTGGGCTGGGAAGAAGTTAGTGGTGCCCTGCGAGGGGGCTGGAAATTGACAGCTGGTGCTGAAGATGAGGGAACTGAGAAGGAGAGGGAGAAAGAAAGAGGGGGTGCCTGTCTCCCCAAGAATGTATGTCCCCACCCAGCCCATCTCGCCTGTGCTCTTTGGTCCCACCGAGGCAGAGGCGGGCTAGTGCTGCAGGACCTGTGGGGGGTGATGGAGCCAGTGGAGAGGGCACTAGTCAGCACTTGTGTAACTCTGGTGCACAAGTGGCAACCTGCGCTCCACCCACGAGGGTGGTCGGTCTCTTTGTGATGCTCCCATGGTGTCTCCTCGCTCGTTGGCAGGCAAGAGAATGTCCTCGATGTTTGGCAAGCCCCGGGCCACCTCCAGCGCTGCCGACCGTCACCTCCCCAGCCTACTGCCCGAGTGCAACGTGGCCATCTTAGGGTGCAGAGGATCCGGCAAATCGGGTGAGAAAGAAAGAGTCACCGTGACAGCCAGAGCCAGCCTCAGAGTTGGGCAGTGAGAGGTCTTGGGGTAAAACATGTTCAAGTCAAGTTAATTTTAGGCAGTGTGGCCTAAGGGGTAGGGCACTGGCCTGGGATTCAAGGTAGACTTTGTTCTATTCCTGGCTCCCACTGCCCTGCTAGGGGACCCTGAGCAAGTCATTTCCATGCTGTTTGCCTCAGTTTTCCGATCTGTAAAGTGGGGGGGTTGATCCTTTTTTAAGCACTTTGAGATCTATAGAGGAAAGGAACTATATAAGTCCTAGGCCTTGTTGTTATTTCCTTGAAACTACAGGTATAAAACAAGCAAGTGGGTTGAAACTTTGCTCTACTGCTCCACCTGGTAATAAATGAGAATTTGCCATAGAGACTCAGCTTTCCCTTGATCCTAGACTTGTCCTCTGGTTTCCAGGGCTTCACATGATCATGCCCAAGGAACCAAAAGGCAACTGGTACTGGAGGGGAGCATCGCAAAGTGCTGCTAACATGGCATTAATTCACCTGCATGTTATGAAAGTGGCAGATCCTCACAGCTTCCCTTGGAATAACATCAGTCATGCTATGCTCTCTTGGGGAGCTGTCAGGGTGAAATCAAATGCTGTTCTATAGGAACTCCATTGTTTTTGAACATTCATCAGAGGCCAAACATATCTCGCCGATTTCACAGCACCCACACCACACACCCACGTGGCTCATGCCATATAAAATATGTCCCAGGAACAATGTTCCCTCTAATTTTTTTCCACCCATGTGCAGAATAAATTTAGTTATGTGCAACCAGGTATGTGCACCATCAGTAGAACCATATGCTGCTGGCTGCAGGAGCTCTACCAATCAGCTGATTGGCACCTGAATCTCCCCTGGTCAGCTGCCCAAGTGTTCAGCTTTCAGGGAACTTTGTTCAGGAATCCTCCAGGTAAGGAGAGCAGCCTTTGGAAAACAAAGCTTTCTTTATTCCCTTTGTCCTTCTCCAGATGGGTGAAGCCCCGCAGATTAGAAATTATCAGAACTCAGGCCTTGATCTAACAAAGTGCGAATGTGTATGCTTAGATTTCAGCACTTGAATGGCCCAATTGAAATCAACCACACTGCTCATGCCTAAATTACGCATTTAAGTGCCTTGCAGGATTGGACTCTCAGCTGAAAATCTTTAGATTCTGTTTACTGTAACCATTATGACTGCTTTTACACTGCCTGCTAATAGGATTCGCCTGTTGGCTGTTTTTAAAGTTACAGACTAACGCAGCAATCCCCGCTCCCCCCGACAGGGCCGGCTTTAAGCCGATTCCCCTGAATTGAGCCCCGCGCCTAAGAGGGCCCTGCTCCCGGGTGTACGGTGCACGCATGGCCTCTGCCCCAGGCGCGTGGCACATGCGCGGTGCTGCCTCAGGCGTGCAGCGCGTGCGTGGCCCCGCCCCCACAAATCAGGTCCCGCACTTCCTAAAGCTGGCCCTGCCCCGAGAGACCACCATGGCTACGTCTAGACTGCAAGCCTCTTTCGAAAGAGGCTTTTTCGAGAGATACTTTCGAAAAAGCCTCTTTCGAAAAAGAGTGTCTAGACTGCAAGCAGTACTTTCAAAAAAGCAAGCCACTTTTTCGAAGGAGAGCACCCAGGCAGTCTGCATGCTCTCTTTCGAAAAACCCCTGTTTGCATTCAAGAGCGCCTTTTTTCAAAAGAGCACTTTCGAAAAAAGGCATTCTTCCTCGTGAAATTAGGTTTACCGCCATCGAAAGAAAAGCCGCGTTCTTTCGATTTAATTTCGAAAGAATGTGGCTGCCCTTCAGTCTAGACACAGCCCATCAGACAATTATTCTCACTGAAGTCAACACCCATGTGCAAGGCAAGCAATTTGCTTGCTAGATATCCTTGGGAAAGTTTGGGGGCCTCTATAGTGGGAAATTGCTTTTCTCTGGAATGGCATTTTCTTCATGTTGACATTTAAACAATTATGACTAGAACTGAGTGAATAATACATGTGGGTCCAAATTGAACAGAAAATGGTGTTTTCATAGGGGGTTTCTCTGAAAACAGTTCACTTTGGTGTTTTGTTTTGGGTGGCGTTCCTCCTTCTTATATTTTTAATGGCCCAAATTTCTAAACACAATGCCACTTCGAACTGAGAAATTGAAATGAAAAGTTTCAAAATGGCCAGATTTTTTTTTCTCGATTTTTCCAGGTTTCCTTCTACATTTTCTTTTTTGGCCAAACTATTCTTAGAATTTGACAATCGAACTTAGACGTGGAAATAATTTCAGAAAAATTATTCAGAAAAATGCATTTTTCTCTCCTTAGCTATTCACTGAAGTTTTTGTCCTCTGTTCTAATTGTGACTAACACCTGATCCTCTCTGTCTTCCGAAAGAACTGCAAAGACATTAGACTTTCATTCATTCCTTTTGTTCTTTGACTGAACTGATTCAAGTGTCCTAATTTCTGCATCAACACAGTGTTAGCTGAGTGTCAACAGTCATACAGGGATCTGCCGCTTACTTGCTGAAATGTCTGTTGCATTCTTTGAGATGAGCATTTATAGAAGTGGCTGCTCTTAGCAGACTAGCCTGGCATTAAACTCAAGCCATAGCAAGCAGCAAAATGAATCCACTCAATATCAAGTAGGAGCCTGCTCTCCTTACACAAACTAAACCCCCATTGACTTTGATTATCATTTGCAAGGCGCCATGGTGCTAAGCGTGGTACAGTCATGTGGCAGGTGACAGTATCTGTCCCAATCTAAATCATTTTATGAGTTAAGCCAATTAAGGACAGCAGGATCAGTCCCAAGTGCCTGATACATAATATGTCCTTCTCTTTTCTTTCCTGTATTATACAGACTACGCAAGAGTAACCCTATTGCATACTTCCCTTTATATGTTGCTCTGCATCCATAGTTTGCAAATGCCCTACCAAGGAGATAAGTATCATTCTGCCCATTTTACAGACGGGGAAATTAATGCACAGAAAGGGGCAGGACATGTCTAAGGTCGCGCAGTAGAGCAAACGCCAAGCTGGGACTAGACCCAAGGTCTCCAGAGTGCCAGCTAGTGGCCCTTGCTCACGCTCTCTGCCAAACCAGCACGGGAGCATGGTACAGAATGATGAGCAATAGTTTGGGGTGGCTGTATGGGCAGCTGGTAATGTAGGCAAGGGAAGGCACAGCCTTCCTAAAACTGTCTACACGCCCGGGAACTGGGGAGGGCAGCCCTGCTCCCCCAGCTACCAGGGAGAGATGGGGCAGAGGTGTGGCAGCCCTACTCTCTGGCCATCAGGGAGGGCTGGGGTTGGGGATGCAGTGTGGCAACCCTGGTCCTCCAGGTGGTCCAGAGGGATTGGACTGGGGGTGGGCAGGGCTGGGCTCCAGGGGCGGAGCCTTGGGTAGAAGGGGCGGGGCTGCGCTTGCCTTCACCAGCTGGCCCTTCACCTGTTGCTATGTTATACAGATGTGTCATCTCAAAGGAAGGCCAGTAAATCCTTGGTATTACCCCCCAGGCAATATCTAGGCTATGGAGCAGGAAAGCTGGTCGAGAGAGTTTTCACCAATTTGTGTAACTCCAGAGGCCTTTGTGCAGCAGGTCTGACCCGGCAGGCCATAGAGAGCAGAAGTGCTGTAGCTAAGACATCCAAAAATACCCTGGGAGAACTTCTCTCTAGGCAAAAGACCAGAGCTTTACGGTCTGATCTCCAGGGAAGGAAAGGTCCCATTTCTAGCCCCTCAACCTCTTTCTAGTGCAGCCTGCATACTGCCCAGCCTGCCCAGCAGAGAGCTGAGAGTGGCAGAGGGGTGCTGCAGAGAGGTGGCCGGCTAGCCCCATTCAGCAGAACTGAAGCGCACGTTTCACTCTGAGCACCTTTGAAGTCAGGGTTACAGCTCCTGCTCATGGCAGGATCGGGCCTCGAGGGCTTTGCTGAACAGGGATGGAATTGAGGAGGAAGCAGCTGTTTTAGTGCCTTGTCCAATCACCGCCTTTATTTCCTTGCCCCAGACAGCAAAGCAAGAGGGTCAGGTTTGCAAATGGCAATGCCCCCGTGAAAAGGGATCGGTATCTGCAGATTCCAGTGGCAAATGGGCAGAGTAACTAGAGGGTGGCGGGGAAGTGGGTTGGGCAGGAAATACCACATTTGAAGGAAGAAGGAGCCATCTTGGGGATAGGTTGATTTTTAAAAATCAACATCTGGTGTCTGGCAGAAGGGGGTCATTGGTTTAGAAGGGTAACATAAGGCCTGGTGGGGCTAGATTGGCAGGCAGATTTCAGGGGAGCAGTCAGAAGTGCATGATAACTAGGATTATCACGCAGGAAGCATCGCCCCGCGACTTCCTCATGGTTCTGTCTAGCTGTAAAATGTTGCATCAAGTAAATAAACAGGAGAAAAGCCATCCCCTCAATTTCTAGCTGATGCCAATTAGCTAGAAATTGTTCTGCCTCAAGTCTCTCAGTGGCTTTGCCCTCAGACTACATGAAGGGTCTCTGGCCATGTCCTGGGACAACCAAATGACCAACTCAGACACAAGATCCCGAGCTTTTCCCAGCACTGCCTGCTGTACATTTTAAATTCATTCTGGTTCTGTAGTGAGGACCCAATGACTTTATTTGGGCTGAGGTCAGTTCCAAGGTGTAATAAACTTACACCTGGTTTTGTTTTGACACCTGGCAATAAGAGAAACTTTGGGCTAAATCCTTCTCCCAGGGTCCCTGGAGGGATCCTCAGCTGGTCTACGTTGCTGTGGTGCCGCTGGCTGATGGCTCAGCTGGCTAGTGTCGGAATGAGAATGGAGAAGTTGTTGGTTCCCAGTCCAGTGTTCAGGCGGAGAAGTTCCACAATGGGAACTGTGTCAGTGGAATCTGATCGCTGAGCCTTGGAAATGGCGCTGCAGCTTGGCAAAAATGAAATGTGTGTGCGCGCGCACGTGTGTGTGTGTGTGTATAAATATACTGCACAATAGTTTGTATCACTCTGCAGATGGGAGCTCTGGGACTAACTCGGAGGGAACGAATAGGCACAGGGATGCTTTCATTTCCTGAGCGGAATGAAACAGGCCCCCGAACTGGGTCTCAAGGGAGAGTTTGTCTGTTCCTGTGGCACGCGGTTGCAAGATGTACTTGCTGCGGGTGTGAAGCTGAGTTGCACAGGCGCGGATGAAACGGAGGCTAAACAAACCTTGTTTTCCTTTTCCAGCACTGACGGTGAAGTTTCTAACCAAGCGGTTTATAAGTGAATATGATCCCAATTTGGGTAAGATTTTCTTCAGTTACTTTTCTCTTGCTTGTCGTCTGCATGCCATTTCCTGGAACACTTGTTTGCCTCCCCTAATAGTACTGTGATTTAAAGCCAAGCAGTTTCTGCAGCTTTCTTTAGCCAGCTGGTACCAAGCTGGCCTTTTATACTGGCATATGGGAAAACTTTCTTCCCTTTTAAATGGACAGCACTTCTTTCCTAGGCCAAGGTTTTCCATAAATATGGCATTAACGGAGGTGAGGAGGGTAAGGAAATTCTGGTACTTTGAAAACAACTAAACTCTTGGGAAATATAAAACCATAAGGACTTAATCTCTCTCTCTACATAAAAACGTTTTTCTTGTGGGACGACAGAATGATGTCATCACGTCTCTCTGGCGTCCCACAGGCTCCGCCCTCGCACAGCCTCCCTGCCCCAGACATTGTTCGGGGATGGCAGAGCAGATTCCGCCTTCTTGCATGAGGGCCAGAGGGCGGCGGCAGCAGATCCTCACTGTGCTCGAGGCCCCAACTCCTGCAGTTGCCTTGGGCCAGGGCTGGAGTGCTCAGGCCCCCGCCTGCCCGGGGCTGCAGCCTTGACTCCCCCCCCCCCCCCCGCAGCTCTTGCGGGGGAGGGAGGAAAGCAGAAAGCCCTGAAACTCGCCCAGGCACTGGCATGCTAATCTTGTGGGGGTGGGGGGAGTCGAGTCTAGAGCACGGGGCAGGTGGCAGCCCAAGTGCTCCTGGTCCTGGCCCGAGGCAGCTGCAGGTGGTGGTTCCCCCCTGCGTCCCAGAGTGTCAAGGTCCTTAGAGCAGCGAGGAGCTGCCGCCTTTGTCCCCACCGCCCCTGGCCTGGCTTTGGCCTTCCTGGTGGCTGAACCGGGATCAAGAGGCCTGTCACACAATCCCCTCCTGCCCTAGGTTATAACCCAAACTCCTGCATCCCAGTCCCCTCCCCTAGATCACAAACCAAACCCCTGCACCCCAGTCCCCTCCCCTAGATCACAAACCAAACCCCTGCACCCCAGTCCCCTCCCCTAGATCACAAACCAAACCCCTGCACCCCAGTCCCCTCCCCTAGATCACAAACCAAACCCCTGCACCCCAGTCCCCTCCCCTAGATCACAAACCAAACCCCTGCACCCCAGTCCCCTCCCCTAGATCACAAACCAAACCCCTGCACCCCAGTCCCCTCCCCTAGATCACAAACCAAACCCCTGCACCCCAGTCCCCTCCCCTAGATCACAAACCAAACCCCTGCACCCCAGTCCCCTCCCCTAGATCACAAACCAAACCCCTGCACCCCAGTCCCCTCCCCTAGATCACAAACCAAACCCCTGCACCCCAGTCCCCTCCCCTAGATCACAAACCAAACCCCTGCACCCCAGTCCCCTCCCCTAGATCACAAACCAAACCCCTGCACCCCAGTCACCTGCTTTGTCACAACCCCCTCCTGCCCTTGGTCACATTCCAAAACCCTGCACCCCATCCCCTGCCCTTCTGCACCCAACCTGTATTCCAGACCCCGCACCTACTCCATTAATATCATGGAAGAGTGCAGCCCTCGACCACTTCCCAAAATCTTGGAGTAGCTCTCCCAATCAAAAATTATTGCCCACCCCTGCTCTATATTACGTTAGAGACGGCAAGTCAAAGAAATGCCCCATGCACTTGATGTGGAAAGTGGGCATGTTTATGATGGTCCTTAGACCCTGAAGGAGTTCACTCCACAGTCTCAGACTAGCCCTTGGGAACGTCCTGTCTTCCACACAGAGAAGATTTACCCATATTGAAGAGATACCCATTGTGCCAGAGGAGTGAATAGAATCGATTAGAATAGACTAGATCATGTGCTCCTGGGTTAAGAAAAAGGGGATTATTTCCATTCTCAGTTCAGTTCTGTGTGTCATTTCACCACATGCAGCGGCTTTGGTACCGGATCTGTCAGACCCACGCACATTCCAGCTGGTATCTTGTTTTACAAGTCACATAAATGCACTCCTGGGTGGGACAGTTAATCAAAGGAACAGGATCAGGCTGAGGAAGGCTAGATGACAGAAATCGCAACTTTTGTCCCAGGAGGTTGATGAGAAGGGAAAACTGAAACTGTCATTACAAACAGCAGAGATCTGTAAATATAAGAACAACAGCTTCTATAGTTAGGGAGGTAGCATTGGCTCACTCGTCCCATTAATAAATAAAAAAGACGGGATGATTTCAGAAATATTTCCTCTTCGTTTTTTCTCCGATAAACTTCCCAGTGATGTCAGCAACAGTGGAACCAGGGGGAATTTGGCCAGAACAAGGACTGTAGGATGTTGCCCAGCAATTGAGAGCCTTTTATCTTATACTTGCTGTTTAAGACCCTACCTCCCACCGCAACCCTGAGGAAAGACTAGAGAAACTTCTGCCAGTGAGCACTCCTAGAAAATCCCCGTTCCTGTGTGGGATTCATCTGCTTAGGGGAAGATGGTCACAAAGTGTCTGATTTTTGGTTCTTCCTGTATGTGTGTCCAGACCGCTGTGATCAGTTACGGAGAACAGCTGAAACGTACATAGCTGCCTAAAGTTCATTGTGATGACATGGAAAGTCAATGTTCCAGGGGCACAGGAGCTGCAGGAATAAGAAGCTGGCCAGAGCTGTGTGAAAACTCATAACAATCATAACGGGGAAAAGAGGGTTAGAGACACTAGCATAGCAATGCAATAATGGCCTACTGGAAGTGGCAAGCACCACTGGCTTCAGAGGAAGGTGTATGTACTCTGCAGAGGGCAGTGACAGGATAACCTCTCCATAGGGAAAGTTTCCTCCTGACCCTCATTAGTTAGGTGTTGGTGATGCCCTGAAGCATGAAGATTTAAATCCTTCACAGTTCTCCTTTATTATCTGCTGTGTGTGAATAATCTCTTGAAATCTGGATAGTGTATTCTGTTTCCTCACCAGACTGCCCATCCCCTGTCACCTGCGCACATACTGGTTTGTTATTATAGAATGGATCGAATCATGAGTCCAGAATTATTCAAGAGCGTGTTTTAGGCTTCCTGCCCTCCCCTCTACTAAGAATGAAATGAACTTTAGAAACCAAGGCGGGAAAGATTAAGAGAAAATTTTGCAGCTGCCAATCTTCACTAACTTCCCAGAGAACTGCCACGCTGCACTCCACTCAACATGGTTCAAAAAGCATCAACACCTGTAATACAATCCAGGGGCTTTGTCACCCTTTCTAATGCTACCTATCTGACAATGCAGGATTGGCCGCTATTCTAGTCTCCTACAATGGGTCCCAGCCTGTAATACAATCCAGGGGCTTTGTCATCCTTTCTAATGCTACCTGTCTGACAATGCAGGATTGGCCGCTACTCTAGTCTCCTACAATGGGCCCCAATTCTCAACTGCTTAGGCACTGCTGGGGTAAAGATGATGACTGTTATACCAAGCATTCATTATCACTGAACATGTTCAGTCATGTTTCCATTTCTGGCCTGCTCCAGCTGTGTTTAAGAAGCTCATCTGCAGCTCACTGACGTCAACGGGAAGGCTCACACTGACTTCTGTTGGCTTTTGAATGATCCCCGTGCTCCTGTTCTGCTCTGAGCGTAAACCCAGAACAACTCACTGATGTTAACAAGCTACACCGGAACAGAGCAAAATTTGGCTGCAGAGAGGACAAGCCTGGAACAGACAGGCAAACTACTGGATAGTACAAGTTGAACCTCTCTAGTCTGGCACCCTCAGGAATGACCAGTCCGAACCAGAGAATTTCCTGAACCACGGGAGGTCAATATTGTCTGGCAGCATTACCAACACGTGTACTTACTGGGCTCTTAGAAGATATTGCGGGGTAAATTAGAGCTAAATAACAGCACAGAACACTGAGAGCCAGGACTGGTGGCTGTAAACAAACTTTATGGGACCGCGGGAAACTCGGCCACACCCTTGCTAAGTGGACATCCAGCTAATTAAAATCATGCTGGAACATGGATGTTGGCAGAATAGAGAGTGCCAGACTAGAGATGTTCAACCTGTATTACAGATGGCAATGGACAGTCTCTATAACAAAGCCAAGAGAGCAAATCTGGGGCCTGAACTAAGCGGGCATGTCCCTATGTCATTTCTTTTCTCTCCTTAGCAGGAAAAAAAGTTGTATTCATCAACCAGGGCTGTCCTGCAGCGAACTCAACGTGGATAGATGCTGCACCCGCTCATAGTCCTCTCCATATGGGCAAAGGAGTTTGCATTGGAACAAAAGCGTGTGACTCAAAGCCCATCAAAGTCTATGGAAAGATTCTCAGTGACTTCAAGGGGTGTAGGTCAAGGGGTGAGAAAGGCAGCATCATTGCTTAAAGAAACAAAACCTCCTAATATATTTATTTTGTTTCCCCTTAAGACCTGCTCCAAAGCCCAGAGGAGTGACTGGAAAGATTCCCAATGGCTTTTGGATCTGGCCTGTCATGTATTTCAATGTCTTGAATGTGTACTACTCCATCTGAAACTGCAAACTAGCAATTTGGGAACTATGTTAACTTTGGGAGGAAAATAATATCCCTGAAACGAGCAGCCAATGCTGAAGTCTGGAGATAACTATATTTTGCACTGATGGCAGTTAAATGCTCTGGGCATTTTTTTCCATTGAATCTCTGTTTGAGTAATTAGCAACTATTTTTGTGGGCCCGAATCCAGCACATAATAAAGAGTTGCAAATGATTTATTGTGGGCATTAGCCAAGAACTGACTACAGACCTAATAACTCAGCAACTTGTGTTCCTAAAAAATCCTTTCCTCAAATCTTGTTCAGGAACTCACTTTTAAAGAAGGGAGAAGAGAGTGAGAAAACCTTCCTGTATTTGAAAGCCTCTCAAAAATAGGACTATAAATATCTAGCTGGAGCAATTGCTGAACATTGATTTAGGGCCATAGTTGTTCTTTCACAAATAATCTTTTATTTCCCATTTCTCAAGAAAAAGGCAGCTACTACAGCATAAGTTAACAGACAATAACACCATCATGCCTCCGGGTTC